ATCGTCACCGGCTGATCATACACCCAGCCGCCACCGCGACCACGCCCTCCCCACCAGCCCCCTCGGCCGCCACGGGGGGCAGCCCAGTTCGCCTGCGAACCACGGCGGCGAGGTGAATCGTGCCGCCGCCGGGACGTCTCTCGCTCGTCACGCGGCGCAGGGGAATGGGGCCGATGCTGACGACGGCCCGGGGACGAAGGACGTTGAGCAGGAGGAACAGGAGCAAGGGATGCGGGAGCAGTACCCGCAGGATTGGTCGGAGGCGGCACGGTTACTACCGCAGGCAGAGGCGCAGGAGCATCCGGAGGCGACACGCGAGCCGACTGAACCTCCGCCGAGCTCAGGCCGACGCTGGTGGCTGGAGGTGGCTGGTAAGTCGGGTCCGCACCAGCAGCTGCAGAAGGCGCCACGGCAGGCGCAACCGGCGGCGGTGCGGAGGCTTCTCCAACAGCAGCTGACGACGCCGCAACCACAGGCACGGGCGCCGGCACCACCACGGGGACAGGTGGAACCACCGGCGCAGGCGCAGAAGCGTGCGCAGGATCAGACGCTACAACAGACCCAGGGGCAGGGGCGGGAGCGGACGCCGGGGCGAGCGCGGGAGCAGGTGGCGTCGCGGGCGCATGACCAGGCGCCACGCCAGGGGCAGACAACTTCGCCTCGGCGGGAACGGGCGGGGCAGCAGGCGCGAGGACACGGCCAGCCTGAGTCACCGACGACGGCGCAGATCGAGGTGCGGGAAGAGGCGACATCCCCACAGCCGCAGGCGCCGGGGACGATGAGGCAGGAGGGGCACTTGCGGCCGACGCCACGACAAAAGGCCGCGGCGAGTACGAATAATACTCGTCGCCAATCGACACGGGCATCGCGGGGCGGACGAGGGTGCGGACGAGGAGGAGCGACTGGAAGGGGAGGCGGACCGGAGAATGGCTTCCAGAGGGAAGCACGCCGCGCCTTAACTCGAAGAGTGGAAGACGATGAAGCTGAGGAGGAGGGGAGAGACCCTACCTTTATAGCAGAGGTGGTGGAAGAATCCACCACGGAAGAATCGGGGGAGCTAGTGGAGGAGGAACGGGAAGGCAGGCGCCGGGGAAACCCAACACCATGCTGAGCCGCCTTTATCCCAGCTGCAGCAGGTGGCGAATCGAACCAGCCAGGACCGGACACCACCGCATCAGAGACCCGCCAATTCTCGCCTGAACAACTGGCCAAGGACTTGGTGCGGTTCGGCGAAGTGGAAAATTGGGACCTGTCCCCCCTACGCGACAGTCGTCAGCCCCCACTGTCGCGTAAACTCCCCGCTGACATTCGCCCACTTTTCGCAACTGCCCTCCTGACACCACTCCTCCACCTCGCGCGGAACCCTGCGTCGGTCGCAGGCTGGCGCCTGTTACTTTTTATCCCGCGCCTCACCCTTCGCCTCCCGTCAACCGAGAAGCCCGATTGGCCGGCAGTCAAGCAACGACTTCGCCAATTCAACAAGGGCGAATGGCAGCAGCTGTACGATGCGGCGGTTACCGCAATTACCGGACCCCACCCACCTCGTCATGCGCCAGATGCCATAGGCAAACGAGCCAGGGCAGAAGGCCTTGCACGAAAAGGCAGCCTTCGCAGGGCGATCCTCGCCCTTGAGTCAACGCCGGTCGCTGACCCATCTGCAACTATCCTCGCCGCTCTCAAAGCGAAACACCCCCCCGCGCCACCTGGATCCATCGATTGGAGCATCCCCGATTCTGTACAAGCTGCTTCGATGGAAAAGGGGGACTTCATTAAAATGTTATGTCGCTGTGAGAACGGGGTGGGAGGAGGACCTTCGGGTATGACATTTGAACACCTCCGCGACGCATCACTCGCCAACGCGGGGGTTACCACACACCTCCATGCCCTCGTCAACACCATCCTGCAAGGCAGGCTGCCTGAGGAGATTTGCTCGTTACTAACTGCTAGCCGCCTCATAGCTCTAGCAAAGCCAGACGGAGGCACTAGACCCATCGCGGTAGGCGAATGTATCCTACGGTTAGCAGCTAAGTCCGCCCTCTCAGCCCTCTCTCACGAATGCCGCGCGCACTTCCTCCCGCTACAATACTGCGTGTCCGTCCAAGGCGGCAGCGAGGCGATAATCCACGCCGCGAGAGCCTTCACTAGCGCAAACCCAGACGCGCTTATCCTGCAGGCAGACCTAGCAAATGCGTTTAACTCCATTAGCCGCGCAGCGATAGTCGGCGCACTTCGCGACACAGACCTCCAGGGCCTCCTTCCCCTCGTCAAAATATCCTATAGCCGCCCAGCCCAGTTGTTCCTTGACGCGGGATTCGGTTGCGAGGCTCTGGCTAGCGAAATGGGTGTGCGACAAGGTGACCCGCTAGGCCCACTACTGTTTGCCGCGGGGATCCACCCTATTCTTTCCAGGACAGCAGCAGCTTACCCATCAGTCCTGTGCCTCGCGTTTGCCGACGACGTCACATTCCTGGGCCCTGCTGCGGATTGTTCTGATGCCTTCCGTCACTTCACGACGGGATTGCGCGATGTGGGACTGACCCACAACCCAGAGAAATGCGCCGCATGGAGTGCAGCAGCCACAGATCCCCAGCAGCTGCCTGAGGGGGTCCCGCTGCACGCGGAGGGATTGCGGGTGCTTGGGAGCTTCATAGGCACAACGGACGGGGCAGCGGCCTTTCTACGGTCACAGCTAGAGACAATGTCGTCTCCACTACCCCACATAGCCACCATGGACCCACAAGTAGCGGCGCTGCTACTAACACGGTGTATCTCCAGGCGCATCTCGTACCTAGCACGCACCACACCTCTTTACCTGCTACCCAAAGCTGAGTGGTCAAGATGGGGCCGGGCAATGCTGTACACGCTTCTAGATGCTTGTGGGGTGCGCCACCCGAGAGGCGAGGCAGAGGACGCACGGATCTGGGACCAAGCCTCACTCCCTCCAAGCCTAGGCGGCCTGGGGCTCGCCGACCCTACAGTGGAAGGCCGATACAGTTTTCTGGCGAGTCTCGTGCAGGCAGACTCACTCCTCAGCCAGTTGGGGGGACAGGCAGGGGCCACACTGACAGCAGCACTGGACACCCCCGCAGCAGCTGATCGCAGCCCCACCGAATTGAAGTAGTGGATCAGGGACTGCAGGGACAGCCTCTCGCAGAAGGCGAGGGATCTTCTATCGGCGGAGCAGACAAAACCCAAGGGCCAGCTGCAACACCGCTTAGCACTCCTAGTCCAAGGGGGCCAGAGTGCCGCCCAGATCACAGCATCCAGACAGATGGAACTGAACCCCCGGCTGGGCCACACCCAGCGCCTCATGTCCCTCACGGGCTATGGGGCGGGGGACTGGCTCATGGCAATCCCCTACATGCCTTCCCTACGCCTATACCCCTGCCACTTCAAGTTCGCCCTCCAGTTTAGGCTCGGCCTGCCCCTGTCTGTGCCCGACTACTGCGACTGCACCAAACGGGTCCCCATCCTGGATAAGAGGCTGCCGAACCACTTGCTTAGGTGCGGTACAGGGCACGGTCAGAACAACACCCACAACGAGCTGCGCGACGAGTGCATCCGCATGGCGCAGGATGCAGGATTTGCCGTGCACAAGGAGTGCACGGCCTTTAGCCCTGTAGACAACAAGAAGGCCGACTTGGCCTTCAGGGATGGGAGCTCGGGGGCGGTATGGCTGGCAGACATCACCATAACGGACCCCATCAGTAAGCGGGATGAGACCGCAAGGAAAGGGAGGGGTTGGGCAGCGCGGGAGGCAGCGGACAAGAAGATAGACCTCTACCACGGCAGGGCTGAGTTTGCTGAATTTTTCCCCTTGGCGGTAGAGACCTACGGCTGCCCGTGCGACGAGGTGCCCACGTTCCTGAAGCTGCTGGCGGACAAAGCTGCACGGAGAATATTCAACGCGGACCCGTCTACCTACCAGGCCGCGAAGATGCTCCACCAGTTCCGCCAGCGCTGGTCGGTCGCACTCCAGAGAGCCCAGGCGGTGAGCTTTCTCACAAAGCTGAACCAGGCGGCAAGGGCAGAGAACCCCCCACTGGGGGGACCAGATGGGGAGGTGAACCCGGGGGACTGCTTCGCAACGCTCGAGGCACCTTAGATAGGGGGGGGGGGGGGGTTGGGGAGGGACTAGGGGTGTGTGTTCTGAAGGTTTTATATTGTCGTTGCTCGACCCCGTTTGCTAGTCTTCATGCGAGACATGCCTTGGCCTAGAATATGCATGTTTGTACCGAACCACACTTATCAATACAAAGGACCGTTAGAGAGAGAGAGAGAGAGAGAGAGAGAGAGAGAGAGAGAGAGAGAGAGAGAGAGAGAGAGAGAGAGAGGATACCTCAGCCCTCTTCCCTCAGCGCCTTCCCGGCCTATTTAAGGCCTGCTCGCGCTTCCTCCTGTCATTATTTTTGTGTGATTCAATTTCAGCAGCTCGCGCCGGCGGCCTTCGGCCGCGCCCTCCTGGTGGCAAGACTTTCCCACGGGACCAAGCCTTAAAGGGTTACACACACACAGGACAAGCAAGGGAGCGGGGATCCTACTAAAGGAGCGGCATGCAGTACTACACGCGGCGGAAGCCTACATCGTGTACGGCTCTGCCCCCTCCACCTCAAGCATCGAGCGCATGCACGCCAACACCGCGAGGAGCTGCGCCGACGAGTGAAGGGTGTCTATCGGGGTCCCGACACGAGAAGCCCCAGCAAGATCTTCCGCGTGGCGGGGGAAGGTACGCGCTAAGGGCGCTACCCCGGCGGCTGCTTCTGACACGGGTTCCAAAGGCGGGACGAGAGCTTCTGCCCAAGACACGCACGATCCTCGAGAACCTGGAGCGTAGCTGCTCGGAGTGTTACGTATGGCCCCACACACCGCCATCTGCAAGCTCGCCACCCCCTCGCACGCCTCCGCCAGATTCAACATCCGGCACATGGTCAGCATGGGATCTGGGAGGTACAGTCGGAGCTTCACGCGGAAACGCCTCGACCGGCCCGGGGCTCGGCCAAATGAGAATTGCTGAGCGAGGAAGCCCGGGGCCTGTCGAGGGGTGCGGAACGGCGCCCTCACCTCCCGCGCGGGCCAATACTCGCGTAAGGTCGGCGCGCACAGCGGAGCCACCAGGCCAGGTTTCGGGGCAAGGGGAGGCCCATTGGTTATGGCTATGTGAACGTGAGTTGGCTCCCCACCCGCCTGCGCCTGCCGCACCGCCGCTGCCAACACGTTCACGGCCCGATCGACGGCAGAATGCTGACCGCGACTGTTTCCGCGACTGTTTCCGCCATGACCCAAGCCATTCCGCCGACCCCGACGGCCACCAGATCCAGCCAATTGCGGACGCGGAGGGGACGGCTCGCGATGTCCAGAGTCCCAGCGACGTCCAGGCGATCCCCTCCCCCGCCTCGCCGGAGATCGCCACGGAGAGCGCTGAGCGGGGGATCGCACTCGCGGTGAACGCTGGGCTGGCCGACCACAGGGGGATTGGTGCCGAGGAGAGCGAGGACGCGCAGGGGACAGCTGATCGTCCTCCCTGTGACGGAGAAGCCCGCGATGCTCTGGAGAGCGGTGGTGAGGAGATTGCTGCCGCGCTAGCTGACGCGGTGGCGAACGCCCGTGCTCCTGACGCGGCTGACCAGCAGGGCGATTTGACTCAACCCGAGCAGGGGCCCACGAGTACTCCGGCGAGGCGAGCCGCGGAGCCCCCCAAAGAGGTAGAGTCAGCCCGCGCTCGAAGCGGCAGACGGGCTCACTTGCGGAGGGGTGTGCAGAGGCACGTGGACGAAGATCGGCAGGCTCCAGCTCCGGCTGCGCGCTCTCCGCAGTACCCTCCCACGCTGGATCGCGACCCGCGGATGGGTCCATCACTCCCGATACCACCGCCGCTGACGCGAGCTCGTCGTCACAGCAAGGACGATGTCGCCGTCGCACCTCAAACGAGGCGCACGGGAGCGGCTAGAGGGAGAGCAATGCGGAGAATCCGTGTGGGACGTGGCAGCAGCCACCGCAAACGACGTGGGAGTGGGAGAGGATGACGAGGAGGTGGAGCATACGGTGCAAACCCGTGCCGCACTGGCGCAAGCGACTACGCGTGTGAAGATTACGAGGAATGATTGACTAAGGGAAAGGTTGGGTACAAGTACAAACCCTAGAAATGTGTTGTACCCCATATGTGCTACCCCACTATAGCCTACATAGGCTAAGTCATATAAGTCTGACACACCCCCATAGGCAAAGTGGGGGAGAACAAGGGGTCACAAGACCAGTCAAGCAAAGCAAAGCAAGCTCAGGGTGGAACGTCACCACACATTCCGAGCACAAGTTCAAGGCCACAAGGCCATTTCACATGCAAGATCATATATAAAGGTAAACAAGCAAGTGCAGGTATAGAAAGATCACAATACAAGCAAGGTCAAGAAGTGAGCAAGTGAGGCCAAGTAGGCACAAGACCTAGCATCGTACAGCAGCGCTGATGATGACAAGGCGGAAGTGCCTTGGTAAAGATATCAGCAGTGTTGGCCTGAGAGGCCACGTAAGCAAGGTGCAGCTGACCACGCTGCTGCAGCTCACGAGCAAGGAAGTAGCGAAGAGCAATGTGCTTCGTTCTGTGCTCCAGTCTGTGCTCCCGACACAAGGCCAGCATAGCCTTGTTGTCTACGTACAGAACTGGAGGAGAACGAGGCGGCTCTCCTAGGTCAGTCAGCAGGTAGGTGAGCCAGCGTAGCTCCTGTGCAGCCATGGCCCCCGCGTAGATCTCAGCCTCACAGCTGGAGCCGAGAACAGAAGACGAGCGGGTAGACCGCCACGAAACAGAGCCGGAACCAAGGCTGAAGGTGTAACCCTGTGACGACCGCTGCGTAGCCTGGTCGTCAGCCCAAGAAGCGTCTGCGTGACCTGTGAGGACCACTGAACGTCGCCCTCCAAGCACTAGCCCCATGCCCAACGTACTGCACAAGTAGCGCAACACCCTCTTCGCTGCAGCCATGTGCTCTGGTCGGTGTCTCCCAGGAGCAACATAGCGTGCCAAGATGCTAAGAGGGTATGCAAGGTCAGGTCGAGTGCAGGTCATCAGGTACATGAGGCAGCCAACAAGCTCTGGGTACGGGCCACTCGGCTCTACGGACTCATCCGAAGGCAGAGCTGAGAGCGAGTGGCGAGTAGACAGAGGAGTGGCCTGAGGCGAGGAGTACGTGAAGTCGAAGCGCTGAAGGACCTGCTGCACCATGTGTGACTGAGTCAGGGTAATGGTGCGCTGTGCTCTGTCCCGGGTGATCTGCAAGCCAAGGTAGCTGCGCAGTTCACCCAGGTCTGTGCACGTGTGTCTCTTCTGCAGCTCGGACTTCACGTGGGCGAGTCCAGTAGTGTCAGCAGTGGCAAAGACCAAGTCGCCGACGTACACGAGGATGTAGAACGGCGGCAAAGAGGTGTCGGTGCGTAGAAACAGCGACGGGTCGGCAGTAGAAGGAGCAAAGCCAAGAGCCGCAAGTGTAGTCCTCAGTGTGTCGTGCCACTCACGGGGCGCCTGGCGGAGACCGTAGACTGGCCGCCGGAGGCTCCACTGGGTACCAGGAGGAAACGACCCAGTGAAGCCAGGTGGGCGGCGCAGCCAGATCTCCTCGTGAAGGCTGCCCTGCAAGAAAGCTGTGCTGAAGTCAAGAGAGTGAAGCTCGTAGTCGCGCTGAGCGGCTATGTGCAGCAGCACCCGAAGAGTGGTCATCTTCGGGGTGGGAGAGAAGGTCTGAAAGTAGTCAACTCCCTGCCGCTGACTGAAGCCTCGAGCCACGTAACGTGCCTTGAAGACAGGCGGAGAACTCGGCGGCCGCTTCACCCTGAAAATCCACATGCCACTGACGATGTTCGCCCCAGGTGGGGGAACCTCGTCGACGTAGGTGCCTGTGGACTTCCAAGAAGCCATCTCTGCGTCCATGGCTGACTGCCACTGTGAGGAGTAGGGACCCTCGATCGCCTCAGCGTACGATCGAGGAGTCGGGATGTCTAGTGCATCCGGGTCTCCCTCAGGTGCAATCAGCATGGACACGAGATGAGGCAAAGCAGTAGCAAAACACTGGAACTCCTCCTGCCTGTCCTCAAGGACGTCTGTGCTAAGAGCACACTCACCCCCGACGGACGGAGGACAGAAAGATTCAGACTCAGTAACAAGACTAGCAGCGTAGTCTAGACGACAACGAGCAGCAAAGTCGACAAGCTCAGCAACTAAGGCAGACGCAGCAGTGGACTCAAAGGAAGGGTCAGTGACAGCAGTAGCCAGAAGACGCGTGACAGTAGGACTGGCAGCACGAAGGGAGTCAGACTCCGGGTCAGCAAGAGCAGGAAGAGAGGACTCTGGAGGAGACGGCAAAGGGACACGCAGTGGAGAAGTGGAAGGACGCAGCGCCATCTGGTGTGTGCCCGGGACCGCAGGAGGACGCGGACGCGGATCACGACGACTAGTGCGAGCAGCACGAACAGGTGACGCAGGACGAGACGCAGGCTCACGACGCTCAGCAAGACCTCCAGTAGGACCAGTGTAGGGAGAAGGAGCAAGCAGCGGGGAGGCGGGCTGTAACTGCGACTCAGACTGGACAGGCGGCGGACACTCTAAGGAAGGAGCAGGACCAGTAGAAGGCGGGAGACCAAGAACCTGCTCAAGGAGCGGAACGAAGTACGGCCGCGGCCGCGCAGCGCCTCCAGAGCCAGCAGGGACAGCAGCAGCACCCCCAGTGGCAGCACCAGCACCAGTAGCACCCCCAGCTGCAGCACCGCCAACTCTAGCACCCTCAAAAGCACCAGCGCCAGCAGCACCTCCAGCGCCAACACCCCCAGCTGCTCCAGCTCCAGCCGGACCACCGGAAGACTCAACAGCCACAGCTCCAGCACCTCCAGCAGCACCTACTCCAGCAGCACCGCCAGCTCCAGCACCGCCAGCAGCTCCAGGACAAGGAGCACCCTCAGTAGCAGCAGAGCCTCCAGCTCCAGCAGCACCTCCAGCTCCAGCAGCACGGCTCCAGCGCCGAGCAAACCACTCGCGCAGCTCCTGTGGAGAGGGCAGCTCCCGCCGAGACGAAGCACCCGAGGGACCTCCAGACCCAGTACCGCCAGACTCCACACGAGCAGGCCCAGCACCCTCAGGCTCCGCACCCCCAGGCTCAGCACCCCCAGACTCAGCACCCCCAGGCTCAGCACCCCCAGACTCAGCACCCCCAGGCTCCGCACCCCCAGGCTCAGCACCCCCAGACTCCGCACCCCCAGACTCAGCACCCCCAGGCCCCGCTCCCGCAGGCTCAGCACCCCTAGCAGCACCAGAGTCAACAGCTACCTCGACAGGCTCGACTGCGTCTACCTGAGACACACCTGAGGGGGCAGGACCCTGAGGGGGAAGGGGGTCTACCTGGGGGGGACTTGGCGCGAGGAAGAGTGACGGCGGGGGGAGGGGCGCAGTGCAGTAGGGGAAGAGACGGTAGTAAGGAACCGACTCGTCAAACGTGACGTCCTGGGAGGACAGAACACGTCGCGAGGTGGGGTGGTAAAACTGCCAACCAGGCGCGTCAGGGGGGAAGCCAAGGAAGACGCAGAGAACAGCACGGGGGGACAGCTTGTCCGCAGACAAGTCGAGGACAAAAGCCCGAGATCCCCAGACACGAAACGCAGACGCATCTCCAACCTTCCCCGACCACCGCAGAATAGGGGAGGTCTCTGGCAAGGAGACTCGGGGCTGAAGGTTGATCTGATGCGCCGCGTACTGAACCGCGAACGGCCACAGAAAATGGGGAGCAGCCGCATGAATCATGGACGTACGAGCGACGTCCATGACCATGCCAATGCGGCGCTCAGCAATCCGATTTTGTTGTGGGGACGCCGGAAGCGTGAACGTCTGGCGGATGCCCTGTGCACGACAGAAGGCTCCCAGAAGGCCAGAGGAAAACTCTCCGCCTCTGTCAGAGTGCAGACGCAGAACAGGAAAGTCCGAGCCGAAACTCTCCCTGAGCTGGAGACGAGCTGCGCGGATCCAGTCGATCAACACCTCAGTGACGTCACCCTTGCTGCGCAAGGGGAAAACCGTGGTGTAACGCGAGTAGTCGTCAACCACCAACAGGAAGTAACGCTCGTGACCCAGGCCACGGACGCAGGCGGGGCCCGACACGTCCAAGTGAAGAGTCTGCAGCGGAGCCTCTGTCGGAGGAGACTCTGAGGAGTGAGGAGCGGCGCGCTGCCGCCCCTCGACGCAGGGAACGCAGGTAGGGGCAGGCCCCGGAGGGAGGGGAGGGAGGGACCGGGGGAGACCAGAGACAAGGTAACGGGAGGCCATGCCTCGGAGACGAGGCAGGGAGGGGTGACCAAGGCGGTGGTGCCAGAGGAGAGTCTGGTGGGACAGGAGACGACACGAGTAGGGAGCAGACTCAGGACCAGACCTGGACGCTGCAGCAAACACCTGACCCGACGCAGCTACCTGACCAGACTCAGCAACAGGAGGAGACTCAGTAGTCAGTGTGTACAGGCTCGACCCCGGCTGACGGGTAAACGTGGCCAAGTGTCGGCCCGTCCGAGCACAGGTACAGTGGGTCACCCGCTGACTCGCAGGAGTGAACTGGTCAACCCCCCCATCCTGTAGATCAGCAGCACTCACCAAGTTCGTAGAGAACGAGGGGAGGTAGAGACCTGACAGGGTGCCAGAGGGGGCCGCCAGACACGGTAAGACAGTGGAGAAGTGGGCAAGGACAGGACCCCCAGAGGGGTCCGCCAGGGAGACCGCAACTGGCCGACTAAGCGGCGTAAGCGTGGTGCGGTCTTGAAAGAAGGAGCGGGAAGCACCCGAGTCAAGGGTGAAGGTGTGTAAGGCCTGAGCCGACGTGGTACCTGAGAGAGCAGACTCACCAGCACCTGGGGCAGCAGACGCACTAGCACCGAGAGCAGGAGCCTCACCAGCACCTAGAGCAGCAGCCTCACCAGCACCTAGAGCAGCAGCCTCAATGCCCGGGTCAGGCGGAACACACAGGTAACAGTCACCCTCCTCACTAGTAGACACAACATACATGGC